TCCAGCCTGGCCTTGGGCACTGCCAGGGATCCAGGGGCAGCCCCAGCTGCTCTGGGCACCTGTGCCAGGGCTGCCCACCCTGCCAGGGAAAGATTTGTTCCTAATAACTAGGTTAAATCTACACTTTTTCAGCTTAAAGCCATTCCACACCTCAAATCCCAGGGTCAGTTTTGAGCACCTCACTCCAAGGAGGACACTGAGGGGCTGGAGCGTGGCCAGAGGAGGGAACGGGGCTGGGGAAGGGAATGGAGCCCCAGGAGAGGCTGAGGGAGCTGGGAAGGGGCTCAGCCTGGAGAAAGGAGGCTCAGGGGGGACCTGGAGCTCTGCACAGCTCCTGACAGGAGGGGACAGCCGGGGGGTCGGGCTCTGCTCCAGGAACAGGGACAGGAGCAGAGGGAACGGCCTCAGGCTGGGCCAGAGGAGGTTTAGGATATTAAGTTTAAAACTCTTCACTGAAAGTATTATCACGCATTGGAACAGGCTGCTTGGGGAAGGAATAATTTTGTGAAAAGTGAAATTCTTAATGCTCAAATAACTTGAGTATGGAAAAGGTGACAAATCAAAAAAATAATCACAGCATCACACATTCAGTAACTTCAATAAGGAGCAGAGCCAGAAAAATGTATTAGAGAATTTGATTCTAATATGAGAGAATTTTTTGTTGTTGTTGTAAAAAGAACAGCTTTTAGAGATCTTAGCCTGAGGAAAAGCACCTTGAGGAATATGCTTTTAAGAAAAACCCATAATGCATTCCTTAAATGATGAATGCCAGTGGAGAAGCATTTTCATTTGCTTAAATGACCTGCAGAAGGGAAGGGACTGCCTGCCCATTAACTTTTCACTGTCTGCTAGCTCAAGGATCATCTGAGTATTAGACATGGTGACACATTAATTGACCCATTGCGCAACAGCAACTTGAGCAGAACTCTGGTTTTATTTTTGTATCTCCTGTTTTCTATTGGACCATTGCCATGGTGACACATGGTATCCAAAAATTAATTTACTGAGCACCAAGAGAGCACTTGGTTCCAGGCTAAGCCAGAGCCTATTGGAAATCAATGCTATTCTTTCTCTTCCCTTTAAAAAGTCTTGGGTCAGGCCATTCTTTTGCATGCAGCAAAGAAAATAATTTGTGGTATGTTTGCTCTGAGTGCTAAGACTGAGTTGTGTTTAGCAGCTTTTCTAATAGTAAAATTGGCTTTACATAAATTCCGGCTCAGTGGAAAGTGTTTGAGGGTAATGGAAGTTTTTATGGAATCTAGGATAAACACTTATTTTTCAAACAAATTAAGGCTGCTCTGGTAGATGGTGTCTGCAAATGCCCTACTCCCCTCATTTCTTATTATATAGTTGAAGAATAACAGGACAGTGAAATAATGTGTATAATTTTGGGCCATGTAAATTATGTGAGGATTGCAGCAGTCCCTTTGCTAACCAAAACTCTCCCATCACATGCTCACTATCCCTTTGATTGCTCATAAGTGATACGTGAACAAATAGCATTTGTTTGGCATTACAAAGTGAACAGCAGAAATTTCATTTTACTCCTATATGTTCATACCTTCTTCCTAGAAATATCTTCCAATGCTTTGTCTCTCAAGGCCTCTCCCTGTAAAACCCTGCAAGCCTCACCACTTGAAAAAACATTCACAGTTTGAAAGAAAATGAGGGAAAAGACTGAGTGTGAGGCTCTGGTATGGTCTTCAAATGAAGAACAATTAGTTTTTCAGGCTGATTTTGTGCTTTGCAATGATGTGTTCAGTAATGAAGTACTACCTAATATGATATGTGTTTCTTTTACTTTCTCCCACATAATATGGGTTTCTAAAGGAAATAGATCCTTCTTCTAATACCTTACACTCTTAACACTTCTTTCAAAGCCATGCAAGATAGGGTTACTACCATGCAGAAGTTGATTTTTGCTGTTATTCCTAATTCATTATTTTATGGTGAAACACAAGTCATATTCTGCCCCTTTGCTAAAAAGCTAACAAGAAGTGTTAGTGTTAAAACTCTGTATTTTGAAGTCCACCTGAATAAAAAAGCTGTGCTTTTACATTTGAAATTACAATAGTTTTAAACCTAGCTAGCAGATTAAAGTCAGCATGTGGCACAAAAAAATCTATTCACACGATTTTTTTTAAAGGAAATTTTGTTTCTTTCTGCAGTTTCCGCAGTAAATAATTGACTGACTATGAGCATAATTGATGTTATAACCCATTCCCTTTAATGCCATGGACATTTTCTGCTAAGTGTTTTGTGTTTTGCTAATTATAACAGCAGCAGTGTTGTGTTCTGTGTTGATTT